GACCTTGTGCGGACGGAAGACACCTCGCTGCTGCCGCGACCAGGATCAGTGGCAGAGGGTGTAACGACGAAGCTGGAGCCGCTGGTATGGAGTGGAGTGTTGTGCCGCTACGCTCGCACCGTGGTGTTTGGTGACGTTCTCCGCGGCGCGGCGGCGCGTGTCCTGGACGATGATGGGGCTGACGATGACGACGACAATGACGACAACAACAACGCGCATGGTGGGAGTGGTGGTCCCGTGTGGTATCGCATTCGCCTCACCGACATGCAGCGGCATGAGAAGGGCGAGCTGGTGAGTAAGGACTTCTCCACCGCGGGCTACGTAAACGCGGCGGTGACGTTGCTGCTGCTCGCCAACACCGACGGGGAAGTGCTCTCGTGGCGCCGGCATTACTTGCCGTCTGCGTCACAAACGCACACACACGGCGTGTTCGCCGCACGCGCCACTGACCGCGCAGTTCTGGCAAAGACGTTTCTGTCGGGTCTGTCTGAGATGACACGTGGAGCAGCGGCAGGCGACAGCCGCGCCTCACTCGTGGCAGAGTTAGTGCTGGAGTTGTCCGCGGTGCGCCGCGGCGAGCACCCTGAGGGACTGCGGCAGCTGAAGATGCTCGATGACCGCCTCGCACTGGCGATCAACGCCTGCAGCGTCACACCAACGTCCACGGTGACAGCAGCAAGCGAGCGGCTGCCGGCGGACATCAAGGCTAAGGTGGCAACACGCAACGAGCAGCTGCAAGGTGTGTGTGTCGGGCTCATCTCCGACCCTGGTGCGAAGCTGCAGCGCGCCGCCATTGATTTACTGAAGCGGCTTAAGGTGAACCCATTTGCGCGCTACCACGCGCAGCTGATTCCGTACTGCGATACACAGCAGAATCTCTTTCACTTCCTGTCTGCATTCCATGTTGAGAGTGACATTCCCCGCGAGGACAGCGCGGAGTATGTCGCAGCAGCCCTCGCTATCGCGCTGCCCAAACTGACCGCAAAGGTATCAAAAGAGAAATTGAAGGACCAAGCCATTCTTCAGCGTCGCGTTTTGGCGTTGGTCACGCACCTTACAGCGAGTGGTGAGTTCGCAAAGGTGCTGGAGCGTGTGGTACAGCAGCTGCTTTTTGAGCGTGTGATGCCGACTGGAAGCATGGAGCCAGCGGCGTTCTGTTTCCTCGATCGGTGGAAGGAGTGGGTACAGAACGACAGTCACGCCACACGTCGCCTTGGGCGGCTGCTGAAGCAGTTGCTCAGCACAATGCAGCTGCTAAGCGCGCTGCTGCAGGCAGTTGGTCGGGGCTTTGCCTCGTTCGCTGGCCTGTGTCTGCACCTTGCCCTCAACGCCTACCTCATCAGCTGCAAGCAGGTGCTGCGCAAGCCATTGGAAGATGCTGCTTGCATTAGTGCAGCGGCAGAGGCTGCTGATGGATCGGACGCAGAATTGCGCCAGCGCGTCAGTAGTGCGCTGAACTCGTCAACACTGAACATGCTCCTTCCACGGCTGCGACGCACCGCTGCAGTCATGGTAGCGTCTCTGTGTGAGCAGTTCCCTGAGGAGGTGATGTCGGTGATGCGTACTGATCTCGCCGCAGCCCCCAGCCGCGATGCAGCTTCATGCCTCATGGGTCGCTACGTGGCGGCATTGCACGAGAATAGCAACGGTGCGGTCCCAGAGTTGCTGAGCGCCACACGTGGCGTGGAGAGTCGCCATGCGGCCGCCACGCCGTTGCTGCGGCTTGTGCGTGCGTGGGCCGCGTCACCCGTAACGATGCCGTTGATTGGAGCCTATGGCGATGCGGTGACCACCATGTTCCAGCAGGTGTTCGCGTTTACCACGAATGTTGCATCGGGTGCCGCTGCCGCTTCTGGTGGTGGTTCCTCCTCTGCCGCAGCCTTAGCACGGTCGCCGCAGCACCAGCACCAGCAGGCCGCAACGCTCTCCGTATATGAAGGCTTGCGCTGCATTGCTGCCATACTCGCGTCTGGTGAGGAGCGCATGGAGCCGTTTGGCACTGCTGGTCGCCGCCATGCCTCGCTGCGCACGCTCTACATTGAGCCACATGTGATGGACGTCTTCGCATCCCTCTACCGGCTGATCATGCGGAGTACGTCGTCGCTGGAGGGCCACGCGGCGACGACACGCGAGAAGCGCAAGTCATCACTCACAATGACATTCAGTGTGGCAATGTGGAAGGAGATGATTGCGACTGTCACGATGCTCACGGAGTACGTCGTGCCTGATGCTTCAAAACCAGCAGCAGCAGCAGCAGCAGCCCAAGAGATACCGACGGACAGTGTGGATGCGATGCTGTCGCGGCTGCTGGAGATGTGCATCGCATTCGTCGCCCACCCCGCCTGCGCGAAGGACCGCCAGACATGCATCACGGCGGCGGGCGTACTGGAGAACCTGCTCCCGCGCGTGCGGCACGTGCAGCTGGAGGCGCACTACGAACCGCTTGTGCGGCTCTTTAATGTTGTGACGGCGCCGGAGGCACGCCTCTCACTCTGCCGCGTGCTGGCGCTGGTGTTGGCGCGGCTGCATGTCCCCGCGGAGACGGACGTCATTGCGGACAACGTGCGGCGGGGCTCCGCCAGCCACGCGGCGCAGTTGGCGGCGGTCGGACGCGCGGTAGCCTGCATGAACAGCTTCGCCGACGACAACACGCTGCTGGAGCGGTACGACTTTGAACTCCGCTTCCACACATTCCGCTCGCTCCAGCAGTTCTTCCTGCACGACGGCAATTACGGCGCCCTGCAGGCGAAACGCAGCCGGGCGCCGGTGCACGCGTCCGCAGAGCAGGTGCGACATGAGCGTAACTACAGCGGTTCCCTGGATGTGACGATCCCACTCAACGCCAGCGAGGCACCTGTGCTGTGCGTCGAGGGTTTCTCTGCTCTCGCCGCAAATGTCGTCTTTCTGCTGCGCGACCCAGAGGTGACGATCCGCGTGCTGGCGGTGCAGCTGCTGGACGCGATGCTGCTCTATGCGTCGCGGCAGAAGGCGCGTGCGCCGTCGTACGACACGCTTATCCTCGAGCGTGTGATTCGCCGGGAGGTGCTGCCCTCGCTGCGCCGCGGTGTGGTGTCGCGCGATGTGCACATCCGCCACTCGCACATGCAATGCTTCAGCGCTCTGGCGCACTACTACGCCACTGCATTCCCCTCCTTTGCCGTGCTGTACTCGCGGAACGTGGAGCAGAACTTCTTTTCGAATGTGGGACACGTGCAGCACCGCTGTCGGCTTAACGCGCTGGCGGTATTGCGGCAGAACGTGTCGCGTCTGCTGCCACGCGATGTGATACGTGTGTTTGTGCCGTTTCTGCTTGTTGCGGTGCGAGACTTCGCGCAGGGAAAGCGCGACCTGCAGAACCTTACTGAGGGCCGCGCGAAGGGGTACTGCGATGCGGTACTGACAACGCTGGCTGCGCTGGCTGCGGCGCTGCCGTGGGAAGGCTACCACCGTGTGCTGAGTCTGTTGCTGCTGAACGCGCGCGAGAATGCCTCGCTGCGGCTGCCCATGCTGCGCGGTGTGGTGATGGTGCTCGACCACTTCCACTTCCTTGACAGCGGCAGCGACGAGGAGGCACGCGCGGGCCTGACAGCAGCAGCGGCGGCGGCGGCGGCGGCCGAGCAATCCGATGGTGTGGGCGCTGGCAATATCTCAGTCGATGATGGGGAAGAAGACGATGACGATGATGATGATGATGAGGCGGCTGCTGCGCTGCGCGTAAAGCGTCTCAAGTACCGCAACGCACGTGTGCTGCACGTGATGGAGGACGACGTGCTGCCGCAGCTGTACGAATTCATTGGCGACGGCTCACGCAAGAGCCGCCCGGTTGGCGGGGAGCTGCGCGGCAACGTGCACACCATCAGCAACGTGCGTGGCGAGATGCGGAAGGCTGACAACGCGCAGCAGAACACGGCGATCCTGCAGCTGCCCGTGGCGATTGCCATCACGAAGATTGTGAAGCGCTTCCCCCCCGACCGCTTCTCCCAGCACGCCGAGCACCTCCTCGACGAGGTGGTGCTGAAGCTGCGCACCAAGAACGACAGGCACCGTGAGAGCGCGCGGCGGATTCTCAGTGCGATGCTGTCCGAGACGGGACCTGGCAAGCTTGCCTTTGTCGTCACGAAGCTGCGCGACCACCTCGTGCACGGCTACCAGCTGCACGTCCTTGGCTACACGGTGGTGACGCTGCTGTACAACCTCTACGAGCCGCAGCACGCCATTTCGTACGGGCGGCACAAGACGGCGCCGGTCAGGCCCACCCGGGCAACGGCGGCAGCAACAGCAGTGGGCGATGAGGATGAGGCGGACGTCGACGGGGGGAAGCAGCAGAAGCCGCACCGGAGCGAGGAGGAAGAGGAAGATGAGCAGGAGGCGGAGCTTGCACGTCAGCTTGCCCCCGCCACAACGCGCTTCGACCACGCGTACGGCGTCTCGTGCCTCACGGCGTGCCTGGACGACCTGATGGGCATCCTGCTTGACGACTACCTCGGCGAGGTGGGCGAGCAGAAGGAGCAGGTGGAGCTGATGAGCACCATGGTCGAGGTGAAGCGCAACCGGGCTCTGCAGGGATTCACTCTGCTCGCCACGCACTGTCAGGCCAACCGCGTCATTGAGACGTTCCTGCACAAAATCACGTGGCTGTTGACGCCGCCGAGTGAATCGGCGCAGGCCGATATCCGCACGCTCCACGGCAGCGCCCGGGCCGGCGCGCTGCTGCTGCAGGAGCTGAAGAGCAAGTACAGCACCGTCAGCAAGAACGCTGCGGCGGACCTTGTGTTTGTGCAGAAGGTCCGACTGCTGGCGGTTCGTGTGGCGCGCGCGCTCATGACAAACGCGACGATGGAGGTGGAGAGTTCGTTCCGCACCGTGCGGGCGCTGCTGCAGCGGCACAACGAGGTGCGTGAGGAGAAGATACGGGCCTTCGAGGCGAAGGATGGCACCCGCCGGGTGCGCGGCAACATGCACGTTGCGATTCAGCGCGCTCCCGCGTCGACGCGGAAGGAGCAGCTCGATGCGAACTTCCTCGTGGCGCCGCGGCCGGAGCGCGTCGACGTGGACTTCAGCGCCCACACCGTGCTCGCGACGCAGCAGAAGCAGAAACTGCGCGCCTACCGCGGGCGCTACGGAAAAGAGGTACAGCAGGCCGCGAAGGACTTTTACCGCGAGGACCCCACAACGGCGGTGGTGCTCGACACGCTTGACGAGTTCCTGCTGAAGTACCTGCTCAGCGTGCTCAAGCAGGTGCTCGGCATAGGGAAGGAGCGCAAGTACTCAACGGCGGCTCTGCGGCTCGATCTGCTGCGCACGCAGAAGCAGAAAACGGGGAAGCATAATAAGAATAACGAGACTAATAGTGAGCCTGGCAGCGAGACGGTAAACACCGACGCCGCAGACGATGACGAGCACGCAGCCAACGAGAAGAAGAATGGCGAGGCGGAGACAGCGGAGAGAGGTGATAACGACAAGAGCGAAGGTGACGGTAGTGATGCAGAGGAGGAGGAGGAAGAGAATGATGATTCGCTGGTGCCGCAGGTCTTGGACGATGAGGAGGGCGACGCCCTCGACCGCTTCGCCGCCAAAGTGCAACAGCACGATGACGATGATGTGTCAAAGCAGAAGGCCAAGGGGTCGGGCACACGCGGGCAATCGCATGAGAGCAACAAGAAGCGGCATCCGATGGTGGACCTTACGGCATCCTTCACGCGGCAGCACCAGGAGCTGCTAGAGACGCTGCTGCCAGTCGTACTGACGACGCTGCAGGGTGAAGGCAGTGACGCGGTGGTGGGACACGCGCTTGACTGCATGCTGGCGCTCGTGTCGCTACGACCGCCACTTGCGTCCGTTGCGGCGCTGCATACCACGCTGTTTAGTACTGTCACAGCCTTCTTTGAGCGTGGTGGGGCGATTAAGCAGCGCGCGATGCGTGTCGCCGCGGCAGTGGTGTCACACCAGCGCTTTGTCCTGACGGACGCGCAGGCCGCGCAGCTGACGCGGCTCTGCCACGCCGAACTGGTCGACCGCAATGAGTTCGCCCCGATGGCGCTGGCGCTCTTCCACGCGGTGCTTGGCAAGCACGTGCACGTGGTGGAGGTGTATGACTTGATCGGCGTCGTGACGGAGCTGCTTATGCACACGAGCGCAAAGCGGCTGATGCGGCAGCGCTGCATTGCTGTACTCGCGCGCTTCTTAACGGAGTACCGCATGACGCCGGAGAAGTTCCGCTCGCACATGGACCTGCTGCTGCGCAACCTCGACTACCCGGAGGTGACTGGCCGCATTGCGATCCTCGAGCTGTTGGGTGTGCTCGTCTCCCGCCTGCCGACGGCGGTGCTGCGACAGGAGGCGCCGCTGCTGCTGGTGCCGCTCGCGGTGTCACTCGCCGCCTCGGAATTCCCCGAGGTGCGGCAGAAGGCCGGCGATGTGCTGCAGAGCTTAGCGCGCAACGCCGGCGTCGACGTGCTCG